CCAAAAGAAGTCATTCTTAACAAAGGTTACTGCCCAATAAAGAAACGGACCCAAACGAAGTCATTCTTAACAAACGGTTACTGACCAATAAGAAACAGGACCCAAAAGAAGTCATTCTTAACAAAGGTTCTGCCCAATAAAAGAAACGGGACCCTGAAAAGAAGTCACTCTTAACAAAGGTTCTGCCCAATAAAAGAAACGGGACCCGAAAGAAGTCACTCTTAAAAAAGGTTCTGACCAATAAAAGAAACAGGAACCAAAAGCCTTGTATAGGTTTATAAAAAATGCACAGCTCAATATCAAAACAGACTGTAATGTTTATGGATAAGTAGATGAATTATACAATATGTATCAAGAAGATTTTGTAAAACTTCTCTACGCCAATTAGTACCATGAATCATACAAAGTGCAATTTTATTTAAATAAAAGCAACACAAGACACGTTAAAAATTCAGTAAGCAAAGTACAAATGAAAAATTTGCATTATATTTGATTATATCTAATCACTCAGTGCTATGCAATATTATCTACATAGTGAAAACTATCTATACATAATGAAGTTTGACAAAAAGTCTGTGACAAAAAAAACTTCAAGAAAAAAAAAAGATAGCATAGAGAATGTTTTTAGCACTAACCAGGTACTTCCACTTTTGTCATTGTTACCAAATGCACTAAATGAACCATCATCATGTTTGTAAGTTAGTTCTCGTTGATAACCTGCAGACAAAGAAAAAATTAGGAAATCACAAAAGTAATTCAATTCTAGAATGATTGTTAACTTAGTAATATAGAGATTATTTGTATAACCCTTGCTTATAACAGACCAAACTGCAGCACTTACCAAACCTTTTCCCTATGTAACCCCATTTTTGAGAAAAAATGTTTGTAACTCTAGACAGAACTCAAAACAACATTATCACAGGGTAATTTATGATCCACAGTTTGGAAACTAACAGACTAAAGAACACACTACAACAAATTAAGTTTTCTCCTACAGCGTTTTGAATGAATTACATGAATACATATTGTACATCTTTTTGCACAGTTCCAAGGTTAATAAATTGATTTAAACAAAATATGGTCTGTGGGAGATAAATATACATTAAAACATATTTGTATGTTTTGCATTCTGTCATGTAGTACTTAATTCATTGTTTGATTGTATTCGGCACACTGGTACACCTGAAGACAGTTATCAAAAATTTAAGTATGAAATAAAAACAAAGAAGAAAAATTGTGTTCAAATATGTTAATAGATAGGATTTAAGATTACTTCATATCAACTACTCAAAATTATCCCTGTATTCTTTAGTTAATGCACAAACAAAATGTAGGGTACTCCAACTACTCACCACTCTCCTTTTATTTTTTGGTGAATGTGAAAACAAATATAGGGTTATCAAACTATTCACCATTATTCATGAACTCCTTGGTTAATATGAAAACAAGATATAAAGCACTATATATGTATATATTGCTGACCACGTTACAATATCCTAGTTAATGTGTAAACAATACACAGGACACTTTACACATACTACTCACCACTTTCCATGTACTCCTTGGCTTTACGTTCCACCGCTGATGTGAGTCGTCCAGCACGAGTCAAGTATTCTATTACAACAATATTTGGAACAAATTTCAACATGTTCTGTTCTCCACAACCAAAAGGCATATGTAACAGTTCTTCCAAGTTATTCACATGTGGCCCCATCAAGTCCCCTTGAAAAACAAACAGACATTAATACTAAAACGTCAGTTCCATAGCATGATTATTCTTATACTAATTGTACATAATATGTTGACCAAAAGTAACTGCTTTTAAAGTTTTAGTCAAAGTGTCAAATTAAATGCTATGTTACAATATTGAGTTTAGAAAAGTCAGTTACTAAAAAATCAAAAACTGATTGTTAATTTTCAACAAAGTTTATTGTAAGGGTACCCATAGAAAACATGAAATTAAGGCATATGGTACAGGTCTTCTTTGTATGTGCTTCTTCACTCATATCTAAATCTTTAAACTCAAAATCACCAGTAGGGTCCACACGGTCACCTTATATTTTAAACACACCTTTCTATACTATTGATGCATCAAACTGCTTGAAGATCCACGAGTTCACTGGTAACCCAAGTTGCAGAACAACTTACACAAAAATACTGTCAATATTGCAATTAATCTCACTAATGACTGTTGGAGTTTTCTATGTATTTTACATTAAAAAATGGATAATTTAATTCAATGTTTTTGGTCATTTTTTATATTTAGCATTGTAACAAGCAGTAACATAAAACTCTAATATGATGCAAAACAAGCAGTGAATGACATATAAACAATTCTTTAACTTTAGGGTGAAAATGAACATTTAGAACTAGTATAGTTTGCACACACAAATTTCTGGTTACCAGTATCTTAACAATAATTGTTATTAGTCAGGTGTTCCTGATGTGTTAACATGTAAGTTAGCAAAAGAGCTATAACTATGTGAGAGCATACAGATAAACAGTCCCTTAGCACTGTACAATGATTATATGTATTCTTCCCTCTTGTGAATGACCAACAGAATTTTTTCACTAAAGTTTCAAGTCATTTCTGCATTAGTTTGTTTTGGTTACCCGCGTCATGCAAGCATTTTAGTCTGAGGGAAAGTTTGAATATTTTACAAGAATCTGGTCCAGGGTCATTTGAGGAGAATGATATAAAGAGGGATGGCAATTATGAGCCTAGCAATTATGAGTCTGATGATTAAAGAGGCCTAGATTATGCACAGCAAGTAAATGTTCAAGCTGATTCATCCATAGCTGACACTGCCAATCCAGACACTGGCAGACTATCCATGCTCTATATGTTAGTCCAACTGATATTGATTTTATTACACAGCCTCAACTGGTTGCAGGTTTGTTGTTGGAGGCTATTCCAGTTTAACTTTTCAAATAGTTTGTGATGGAGGATGTCATGAATATGATGGTCACTGAAACAAATAGGCTTGTTAAACAGTTCTTGAAATTGAAATGCCTAAAGCCCAAAAGCAGAATGTGTTAGTGGTCTGCAACTGATGCATTTGAAACGAGAAAGGTCTTTGGCATTCTTTTCATCATGGTTATTGTGAAAAAAAACCATTGATAGAAGATTACTAGTAAAATGATCCATTGCTGACTAGCCTGCTTGTCAATGCTATTATGCCATATGATCATTTTGAGACTGTTGTTAAAGTTTTAGCAGTAATAAATGCAACTTACTGCATGGATTAAAACTGCTGCAATTTAATAAAAATTGATTTTATTAAAGCATGCAAATCTCCATTCTTTCAGTATTTAAACTACCTAATTTGTTAAAATAGAGATACCTATCAACCAATACAATATTATACTTATGAACTAAACAATTTTTAAGCTTGCTGGCCCTCAACACTTAGTTCCCCCTATTCTACTTCCATTGTCTGGATGTGATGCAGTTACACAAATTACAAGCAAGTTTTTTACCATTTATAAAGAAATATTCTAAGCAGTTTGATAACTGAAGCTTGTGAATAAACAAATACAGAAATTATCCATTAAACATTTATACTTTCTCCATATAAATATTCTTTAAATTAATATTATCTTCCAAACAGAACAAGCTTCCTACTTAGATCAAAATAAGCAATCATCACAGTAATCAGTGTATCTAATTAAATAGTTTTCTTTATATGTTATTACTTATAAAGATCAGAACGTATTGTTTCATCACTGAAGTACCCTCACTGTTAAATGATACTTTTAGCATTAAAACATGACTCTACTAGCCTGTATCAAGTGGTTAAACTGTAACCCACCAAGTGGTTTTGGGGAATCACTAACTGAGGCACTGTGTTTTGGAGACAGTAACAAGCATGGAGATAAGCTTCATAGCACACAGTGTGAGAAATTTTTTAACATATATATTAGCCATCCTTTGTAACAATATTTCATAAATTCATAAAAGTTTAAAGGGACAAAAAAAGAGCTTATTAGCCCTTTCAGCTCCCAACTATAACCACCCCTCACTACTCATGTATTCATCCAATCTTTTCTTGAACTCAGTTAAATTTTCTGCCTCCCCACCCGTGAAGGCAGCTCATTCCAAAAGCCAAACACCTTATTTGAAAAGTAATACTGTCTAAACTGCAGACAACCCCTAGGCTGCCAAAATTTGAATTTATGCCCCCTTTTCCTATTGTTTTCACTGCTAAACACAAAAAAGTTTGATGGATCTATATTATGAATGCCTCAATCAAATCCCTTCTGACCCTTCTCCTCTTCAGAGAAAACAAGCTTAGAGATTTTAGTCTCTTCTCATAGGACAATCCTACCATCCCAGGTATCATCCTAGTGGCTCTTCTCTGAACCTTCTCCAATGATTCAATGTTCTTCTTGAGGAAAGGAGCCCAAAACTGTACACAGTACTCTAAATGAGGCCTTACAAGTGATCTATACAGTGAAACAATAATATCCCTTGTCTTGTATTCAATATTCCTATAGATGCTACCCAAAATCCTATTAGCCCTATTGCTGGTTACAATACACTATTTAGATGACTTAAGTGATTTTTCAATCACAACACCAAGATC